TTCAGGGAAACAGAAAAAGTCTAGTCAGACGGAGCTGTAGAAGCAGACCACTGCAAAAACTGGTTTGGTTTTTTTTGTAAACAAAAAAAAACCCTCCAAATATTTATTTTATTAGTAGAAGTTGTATGCAAGTGAAGGTCAGAATACAATTTGTAAGTTAGTTTCCACTTTCCACCATGTTTGTTCCAGGCATGGAATTCGGGTCGTCCAGCTTGACTGCAATCACCTTTACCCGCTCACCCCTGTCCTGCCCCCATCCCTTTCCGAGACACAAGTTACAGTAACTTGTGTCTCAGGTTCAACAGTACCAACACAGGGTAGCACATGGTAGCTCCTCTGCCACGCTTCTCTCTGTGGAGGAACAGTGTAATGTGGAGGAAACAGTGTAATGCTGTAGTTTGCCACTTGACTCTGTCAGGCAGCAGACAACCCAGCACTCCTGGTGTGACAGTTGAAGCTCTCAAGAGAGCAGTTTGTGTGACTTTCCTCACGCCAATGGTTTAGGCAAATATGTCTGTGGGCAAATGTTACTCAATTCCCCACAGAAGGGAACTGGGCTCCCAGTAGCTGGCAGAGCAGCTAGCTTTTTGTGTTTATTCTTTTTCTTGTCTATCTCTGTCTCTGTCTTCCTCTCTTTTTCTTTTTCGTTCTTCTTGAGATACAGTCTCACTATAGTCCTGAAATGCACTAGGTAGACCAGGCTAGCCTTGAACTCACAGAGATTCATCTGCTTCTGTCTTGAGTACTGACATTGAGGGTGTGCACCACCAACAGACTCTGTATTCACTCTGGGCGGGGCTGGGAGGGTGGTTTGTGAGCAGAGTGCTTGCCCACATGGGTGAGGCTCTGGAGTTCATTCCCAGTGCCATCAAAAAGAAGCTAAAATGACAGTGGTTCTTCCAGGAGCAAATCCAGTTTATCCAGAGGCAAGTCTGAACACACAGGATGTGAGCACACAAGAACAGCCATTGCAGTACTGTCTGCAGGCAGATTGCAAAATGAACCACAAGCTATCTAAGAGATCCTTGCTAGATGGAGGGTTAGAAGTTCAGGATCAGGTCCCTGTCTCTAAAGAAAGATCTCCAGTGCTCTCCCACCAGCAGCTGGGGCAGATCTTCAGATATAAATCATACAAACATTAAATTGTAAAAAGAATTTTTTTTTGGCTGATGAAAATTCTGGGCTCTTTTGTGTGTGTTTGGGATGAGGGATGGAACCCAGGAACTCAAGGATGCTAGGCAGGTGGTCTACCATGGAACCACATCCCCATCTCTTCCTGGGGGATTCATGGCAGGAGCTCTGCCACTGAGCCACACCCCAGCCCCTCATTAGAGGCAAAGGCTCTATTGCTGATCCATACCCCACCCCGCAATGTTACATATGGTGGATTTATGACTTTGCCAAAACTTATCAGAGGGATTGGTGTAGATCAGTTGATAAAGTACTTGCCCAAAGTCCTGGGTTTGATCTGATCCCCAATACCTCATAAACTGGGTGTAGTTGGCACAACCCTATGACCTGAGGTCTTGAGTGGCAACAAAAGCGTGACAGGCACCAAGAACCACATGCAAATGTAGATATCTTTTAAAAAGCAGCTTAGGCCAGCTGGCGAGGGGTGTGGTTAGGATAGAGCGGGTACTTTGTGTTCTCAAGGCTCTGGCTTGACAGCTGACATGCACACACACGTCGGCAAGCATGCATGCGTATGGAGGCGTGCACATACACACTCAAGCATGCATGCACACACCTTGTAAGACTGTACATTTAATGAGTTTGAATTATGTGTGTGAATTACACGTCAAAAAATGGACTTTGAAGAAAGGAAGGTTAAAAAAAACCAAGGTGTGGTTCAGTGGGTAAGAAAAAAACATATTCTGGTTTGTTTCAGTTTTCGTAAGAAAGTGTACAAATGAAACTAGACAGAGGGATGCACACTTCTAGTCAAAACTTGAGAGGCTGGGGCAGGAGGATGGAGTTGGAGGCCCAGCTGAGGCTGCATGACAGACAGTGAGACCTTCTTCCTATGGGGAAAGGGAGGGAGGGAGTGAGGGAGAAAGGGAGAGAAGAAGGAGAGAGAATGATTATGAGATGAACAGAAAGGGAAGCAGTTTCCTGTCAGGATAGAAGGAAGGAAAGAGGCAGACTTGGAGAGTGGAACACGGTACACCTTTTAATTTTCTATTTTATTTTAAGTATTTACTTTGCCTTAATGTTTATCACACTCATTTATGTGTGTGGAGGGGGCATGCATGTGTCACAGAGTATGGAGGTCAGAGGACATTTGCAGGATTCGGCTTTCTCCTTCCACCTTGTGGGCCTCCGGGATTGAACTTGGGTCATTAGGCTGTGTGGCAAGCAGTTTTCACAATTTTTTGTGTTTATTTTATGCACATGGATGTTTTGTCTGTGTGTATTTCTGTGTACCATTCACATGCCTGGTGCCTGTGGGGGCCAGAAGAGAGTGTTGATCCCCTAGGACTGGAGTTACAAGCAGTTGTGAGCTGCCCTGTGGGTGCTGGAAATCGAACCTGAACCCTCAGGAAGAGCAGCCAGTGCTCTTAACCACTCATCTGTTTCTCCAGCTCAGGAGCAGGCACTTTTACCTAGTTGGTTCCTTGTTTGTTTTTTTCCCTAGGATGACAGACATGCAAACCCAGCCAGCCACTTGGTTTTATATAGTTCTGCAATGGAACCCAGGGCTTTGTGCATACTTAAAAAATGTGCTATACTCCCAGCCAAGATTTTTCTTATTTCCACTTTTTGGTGATTTTGAAACAGGGGCTCTCTATGTAGCCCTGGCTGTCCTGGAGCTTGCTGTGTAGACCAGGTTTTCCTGAAACTTACAGAAATCCACATGCCTGTACCTACCGAGTACTGGAATTAAAGTCATGCGCTACCATCCCTGCTCACATATATATATTCTAAGACAGGGTGTCATGTAACCCAGGCTGACCTCAAAGTTACTATGTGTCAGAAGAGAATCTTGAACTTCTGATCCTTGAGACTTGACTTCCTGTATGCTGGGATTATATGTCTGTACCACCAAGCCCTGCTGCACTTTCCTATAAACTTTAGACCTCTGAATGTGTGAGTATTCCCAGCTCCATGTCGAATGGTCAAAAGTTAATGTGAAACAAACCTGTGAAGAACTGTGGTAAAGGGTCCTTGAATAGAGAGCTGTGTTCACCCAGTGTCCCTAACTGTGAAGAATGAGACACTGAGGACAGATAGCAGAGGAAAAGGAAAAACAGAGTGGTCTGGGGTGTAGCTTAGTGGTAGGGCATTCAAAAAGTCTGGATTCCATTCTCAGTACGGAGAGGAAAATGGAACCTGGTGCTCTGTGGTAAATTACACGCTTAGAGTCTTTCAAAGCCTTCAGTTTGATTCTCCAAAGTCCCTAAAACTTGGAGCCTTAGACGGTGGTCTATCTGCTATTCTTGCCTGCATGAGCTGGAGGTAGGACAATCAGGAATCCAAGCTCATCCCTGACTACTTACTGAACTACTTGGTGGCTGGCAAATGCTTGTAATTCCAGTCCTGGGGGACCCAACGCCCTTTTCTGGCCTTTGTAGGTACCTTCAGGTACAAGGTACACATATAGACAAGCAGGCACATGCACATACACATAAATAAAAATAGCATTTAACAATAATAAAAAATAATTTAGAAATTGGACTAGAGAAACAACCTTGTTGTGGGGTGCTTGCCTAGCATTCGTGAGGTCCCGGGCTCCATCCTCAGCGCCACGGAAACCAGTGTGATGTGGAGAGCCTGTCACACCAGCCCTTGGGGACTGAAGTAGGGGAAGCCAGAGTTCAAGGTTGTTTCTGCTATATAGCAAGTCTGAGCACACAAACTTTATGAGTCCTTATCCTCAAACAAGCAAACAAAACAGGGAAGTGAGGATGGCTGGAGGGGGAGGGTTCTGCCTGAGGGAGGGTGGCCATAGACAGGAACTTGGAAGACTTGCTAGGTCCTTTATTCTGATGGTAACTGATTGACTGATACATTCATTTTTTGAAACAGGGTCTCACTATAAGCACAAGTTGGCCTGGACCTTGACATGTAGGCCATGGTCCAGAACTCAGAGATGGACAGAATTAAAGCATGCCATACCAAGCCGGCAGCTCATTTTCAGCAGGACTTTGCTACGCTGCCAGGTTGGCCTGGGGAGATCTAGATCCAACTGGTCCTCCTGTTTCACTCTCCTGTGTGCCTGGAAAAATCACATCTGCAGCCAGGCATGATGATAGTTGCCTATAATCTCAGTGAGGGTGGGGGTTGGGGGGAGATGGGTGTGTGGATCAGAGACAGGAGGATCTGAGTTCAAGGCCAGCCCTGTACAACATAAGACCTGGCTTCAAAAGAACAAAGGTTAAATAAAAATGTAGCTCAGTGGGCTGGAGAGACGGCTCAGCCGTCAAAGGCTAGGCTCACAACCAAAAATATAAGACTGTGGCTCAGCCGGGCGGTGGTGGCGCACGCCTTTAATCCCAGAATCCCAGCACTTGGGAGGCACTTGGGAGGCAGAGGCAGGCGGATTTCTGAGTTCGAGGCCAGCCTGGTCTACAGAGTGAGTTCCAGGACAGCGAGGATTACACAGAGAAACCCTGTCTCGAAAAACCAAAAAAAAAAAAAAGACTGTAGCTCAGTGGTAGAGCGATTGTACAGCCTGCAGGAGGCCTGGATTCCACGGCTTCTGGATTTCTCAGTCTCATAGCTGGGAAGGAGGGTCAATGTCCAGGTATAAAGTTAGTTGGCTATGTATTAGACTAAGAGATGGAAGAGGGGCCTGGAGAGATGGCTTAGCAGGTAGTGGCACTTGTCATCAAGTGGAACCTGTTGAGTTTGATCCCTGGGACCCACATGGTGGAAGGACAGAGCAGACCCCCCCCCCCCCCAAGGTGACTTAACTTCCACATGCCCAACAGGGCTGAATCTACCGCATGTGTATACACATGCATTTTAACTTTGATGACACATCCATTCTGGAGACAAAGTACAGCCTTGTCAACTATTGTTTTATTGAATAGCAGTGACAGTAAGATGCTTGACTTAAAAGAAAGCCCCACTCCCAAGAAAGCTCTACCCCAAAACCTCAGGGGTGAGCCTGGCGGTGGGGAGCCAGTGGTGTGTGCATACTTCTTTCCTGTAAGTAAGCCTCTTGGTTCCCCTTCCCACTCTGCCAGAGTACCAGGGCACAGATAAAGCTGTTGGTGGGTGAGGTCCTCACAGGGCCCACCCACCATGCTTGCAGAGGCTTCCTCCCTCAGACCCATTAGGGGACAAGCAGGACCCTTGAAGGTGTTCAGGGTCTGGGTCGCCTTGGGAGGCTGGTCTTGAAGAGTGATTTTCCAGAGGCTTCCACATATGTGATGCTCATTTCTTTGGGGCTTATCTCCACGTATGTGAAGCCACCCAGGGAGTCCTCAGATCCATAGTGAAAGCGCAGGTAGCCATTGGGAACCTTTCGCTGATGCCGCACGGACGGATCCATGAAGTTGCCGGCCCCACTCAGCACATAGCCCACGCCGTTTTCATCCTGAAGATACTGGGGGCAGAGGATACAAGGCTGGTCATCCCGGCCCTGGCTAGGGGATGAGCAAGGACTTCACCTAGAGCTTCCCCAAAGGCAGGAAAAGGTCTACCTCTGACCTTGAGCAAGAGGTGGGTAGCCTCTCTTTGCTTCAGTTTCCCCATCTGCAGGAGTGGGTCCTACTTCACAGTCACAACTGGGAGTTACTTTGGCATTTAGGGAGCCTCTTTGGTTTTGGGGGTGTTAAGGATGAAATCCATGGCTTCCTGCTTGGCAGGCAAGCACTCTATTATCTGAGTCCCAGACTCAGTGCCCTCACTGGGGGATTCTAGTTGGGAGCGCTAAGACTGAGCCACGCCCCTAGCCCTTCACTGGGGGATTCTAGGTAGGAGTTCCAACACTGAGCCACGCCCCCAGCTCCTCATTGGGGGATTGTAGTTGGGAGCTCTAACACTGAGCCACGCCCCCAGCTCCTCATTGGGGGATTGTAGTTGGGAGCTCTAACACTGAGCCACGCCCCCAGCCCCCTCACTGGGGAACTCTATTCCAGTATTCTGCAGAGGGCCTCTGAGCAAGAGTGCAGCCACGTGGCACCTTGTAGTATAGTAAGAATTCCTTGCTAGATTCCCCATCCTATCCATAGAACCCTCACCTGCAGGTTGTGGTCATGTCCACACAGGTAGGCAGTGACCCCGTAGGTGGCCAACAATGGCCGCAAGTTCTTGACGAGGCAGCGGGTGGGTCCATGCTCGGCGATGGACCAGATGGGGTAGTGGCCGGCAACTAAAACATAGTCTTCCTTGGCTGCTGCCAACTGCTTTTTGAGCCAGGACAGCTGAGTGCGGGCCACTCCCAGGTCCCGGGGCATTTTGGGCTGCTGACTGGCAAAGTCGTCCGAGTTGCCACACAGCATCACTGTGTCCAGCATGAAGATGGCCACAGTTACGTTTGTACGTGGAATTTTGAAGCGCAGACGGTAGTAAGGGCTGGGGAAGTTCCTGTGGAGGGAACAGAAGCCAGGGGTAAAACATTTTAAGCGGAGGCACACTGAGGTTGGTTCTGGCCAAAGGACCTCCCGTTTTCATTTTTTAAAAAAATATCTTAAAATATTTCTTTTTAGATTTTATGATTTATTTTTTTATTTCACATGCATGAATGTTTGCCTGAAAGTGTGTCTGTGTACCACGTGCACGCTGTGCCTGTGGAGGCCAGGAAAAGTTCCTTTGGGACTGGAGTTACAGATGGCTGTGAGCTACCATATGGGTGCTGGGAAGCAAACCCAGAGGCAAAGGACCTCTTTCTAAAGTTTGTTTGTTTGTGTGCTCACATAGACTCATGTTTGCACATGTGCATAGAAATCAGGGTTGTCAGGCTTAGCTGTTATTTCTCCACAGCCGTTCGTTCATCTTGAGGTTTCTTTCTGTGTGGTGGGGTGGACACACAGATGCATCTGTGGAAGCCACAGCAGGGGGCACAGTGTCCTCTGTCACTCTCCACCTTGTTCACTGGAGACAAGGTCTCTTGTTGACCCTGGCGTGTATCCCACCCCCAGACTAGCCTGGAGACCAGAGAGCCCCAGCCAGCCAGCCTCTTACCACCCCACCTACTTTTTTTGTTGTCATTTTTTATTATTAGGATGCGTGGGTGAGGGTCAGAGGACAATTTTTGGTAGTGAGTTCTCTTTTCAAGGTAGGTTCCCAGGATTGAACTCTGGTCCTCTAGTTTACAAGGCTAGTGCTTTTGTATCCACTGAGCCACTTCACTCGTCCTTCAATCTTGCTTTCTGAGGCAGGGCATCTCACTGAGTTGTGGGGCTCACAGATTCAGCTAGGCTGGCTCGCCCTGAGGCCTGGGACCCTCTGCCTCCATCTCTCTGCACTATGATGACAGGCATGTGTCTCCACTCAGCTTTTAACCATGTGCTTTCCTGACTGAGCGTGCCCCTCTGCCTCACAAGGCTTCTTTGGCTAGGCACAGTGGCACATACCTGCCATCTCAATACTTTGGAGGCCGAGGCAAGACAATCTTAATTTTAAGTCCAGCCAAGACTACATAGTAAGATCCCATCTCAAAAACAAGCAGCTGAGTGTGGTGGTGTTTGTCTGAAATCCTACCCCTTGGGAGTTGGAGACAGCGGGATCAGGAGTTCAAGATTATCCTTGGCCACATAGCCAGTTAGTGGCCAGCATGGGCTATATAACACCCTGTTTTAACAAAACAAAACAAAACAAAACACGGACCTTCTGAGGGCCGTGTCATGGTTCAGTGCGCAAAGCACTCACTGCTGGATGACCTAAACTCCATCCCTGGCAGCCACACAGGAGGAGGAGAATACCAGTTCCCATAATCTGTCCTCTGGCCTACACACATGTATTGCCCCTCCCACATAAATAAAACACAATTAAAAAAAAAAAAACACAAAAATCTCTCCCAAAAGCCAAAGGGACTCTTTGTCCCCGAGTGACAGCCTCTTCAAGGAAAGGAGGGAAGGCTCACCAGCGCTTGGAGATCTTGGAGTAGGCAATTTGTGCCGAGACATTGCCAAGGTGATCGTGGTTTCCAGCCAGCACATACCAGGGGATGTTTCGGAGGGCACGGTCAGAGAACACGTCCTCAAAGGTCTCCTGTGACGGACAGTAAGGGCACCCTCCCCTGGGGTCAATAGCCACTCAGCTGCTTCCCCCGAATCAGAATTCAATGGAAGGAAACCATTGGATGGTCGAGTTACAGGTGGGAGTCCAGCTTTCTGCCCTCCCCAGAGGAAGGTCCCAGTGTGGCGTGACCTCCCCACTATCACCTCTGAGTCTATTGAGCACGTACCTGGAACCTCTTGTCATTGGCATCATGCACTCCGGTGAAGTAGAAATTGTCCCCCAGGGACATGATGAAGTCAGCACCCATAATCTGCACGGTTCTGGCAATTTCTTTAGCATTGGCCATTTCCCGGGCTGTGTGGAACGGGGCATTGGGGACTCCTCCCCAGTCACCCACAGCCACAAATCTCAGGGTGGAAGTGGGGGCTGTACAGTGAGCCAGGAATGGAAGCCACATGATTTGCAGGCCCAGCAGTGCCATCCATGCATCCATCTGTGAGGAAGAGACGGAGTCTGGAGTCTGTGGTAAGAGCAAGACCCTGAGAACCCCACCTTCCCTGGTCCAATCGAAGACCAGCCAGCTGAGCCTGGTCTGAGGGTACATGCCTATAAACTCATGGAGGTGGGGCAACAGGATCAGAAGTTCAAGGCCAGCCTCAGCTACACTGGAAGTTTTGAAAATGGAAACAGAAAGTCTCAGGTAAGAAAGACATAAGACGGGTCCCAATTCAAGACACACACAGACACACACACATAGAGACATAGACACACACACAGACACACACATACATGCACACACACTAGCCATCTACAGCTGTCAGTTCCACAGACACACCAGCAGCAGTTGGGCCTGCAAGGAGCTGGGGAGCTAGGGAAGGTGGCCCCCCAGGCCTCTTCCACCATCTTGCTCCTCTGGGACTCACCCTGGTGGAAGCGCCGGTGGTCCAAGAGGCTGCAAGAGACAATAAGCTCCTGGGACAGAAGCGGGGATCACTGAGTCTTTATGCTCTGGGGCGGACGCACATCATTAGGAAAGATGATGCATTTTCTCCGAGGACTAGCCAGAAGCCCTCCCCTGGGGTCATGTGAGCACTGGACTTCCCCAGACCTGGAAATGGGGTTGGGGGGCGGGGGCACCCAGGCTAGGCTGGGCCGTGAGAAGTTTCTCGAAGCTAGCACAGTCAAGGGGCTGCAGGCCAGCCAGAGTCTGATGGTACTGTGTGCTGGGCATCTGTAGGTTGTGTTTGATTGACCGTACTCTAGACTTAGGCTGTTCTGGGCCTGAACCTGAACATCTGTGCCCTTACACCCTTGGCAGCCTGTAACTCACTGTCACTTTTTCTGAATGGGTGTCTCTAGCATGGTAACCTCAGTGGCTTGCCTGTGACATACACGCCAATTCTTATTTTTTTCTTTCTGTTTGTTTTGAGACAGTGTCTCAAGAAGCCCAGGCTGCTCCCTAACTCCCTAAGTAGCCAAGGGTGACCTTGAACACGTGCGGCACTGATTTCGAGTGTTGGAATTACAAACCTAAATAATTCTTCTGTGGTGCCCATGTAACAGACCCCTGTCTCGTCTGTGTTTTGGGCTTAAGTCCTGCTGTATCCCTAGTGTAAATTGTGTATCTGAAGTCATCTAAGTGTGGGACTGTCTCTGAGTTCCCCCTCGCCCCCATAAACAGCAGCGACCGACGACGACTGTCTTTTCCAGGAAGTTCTCGCCACACTCTTCCATGGCCTTTCCCACACCCGGTTTCCAGCCTGAGGAACTTCCAGAAGGCACACACCACGTGGCTGTAGCCTTTTGACCTTGGCCCCCACAGCAGCCAGCTGCAGGCCCTTTTGACCGCAGAGCCCAGCGCCGTGGTAGGTGTGGCCAGCTTCCCTCCTCTCCTCCCTCCTAGGGTTCACATACCGCCTATTCTTTCCAGACACATCCCTTCAACACTCACCACCAATAATCCCTCTGGTCCCTGCACACAGGGATTCCGATTCTGGAATCTCTCGCTCCGTGCGTTGCATAAAGGCTCAGAGAGGGTCAGCGACTCACCTCGGGTTACCCAGCGAAGGGCTGCTATGCATTCCCCACTCGCACCTCTCAGTCGAGGCGAACAGGAAGGAAGTGGGGTAGCCTGAACAGACAGAGACCCCTCCCCCGTGGCAGGCAAAGCATGGGCCTGGCCGGGCGAGTCTCACCTTGGCGGTGGGTCCAGGGTCCAGGACAAGCTGTGCCTAGCCAACTGAGCTGCGGATCCGCGGGCGGGTCGCTCGGGGCTGCACGAGTTGTGAAGAGGCGGCGCCCGCCAGCCTTCGCCCACGGCTCCCTGCCTGCCCTGCTGAGTCCAGAGTTGCAGAGGGCGGGTGCCTCGGTTTCCCCGCCCCAATCCTGCCTCAGCCATTACCTGGCGCCTCGCCGCCAAGATTCAGAGTCCCAGGAGTTGAGGGGGTCCCGGGACCTGACTTCAGTACCACCTGCCTTCGACTCTTGGGGTGCTCACCGCCTCTGGTGGCCGCGCTGGGGAGGTTCAGCCACGGACTGAGCCGGGCTGGTCAGGTGTGCTGTCTCTAATGCGTCTCTGGGTCTTTAACATGGGTGAGAAGGGGCTAGGGTGGCAGGTCCGCGGCTTGCCTGGCACCGGAGCGGCTCTGGTTCCATCCCAGCCCAGGGTTTGGGCGCGCGGGGGGTGAGGTGGGGGCGTGTGATTTGACTGCTATAAGTGCCAGGTAACCGCCACCTGTAAAACTACCCACCACGATCGACCGGGAGAGGAGGAATTTAGGCAGAGAGGGACCCAGAGGGGCGGAGCAAAGCCATCCTCTTCCGCACACTGCAGGTCTTTCCTGTTATTTCAAACAAGAAATGTTGCCGGTTTGCAGGGAGGCTGAGGATGTGACTCAGTTGGTAAAGTGTTTGCCAACACGGTCGAAGCCCTAGGTCACAGACACAGGTCATTATAAATCAGGTGCACAGCCGTAACCCTGGGCCATGCAGAGCACACCTGTAACCTTGGGCCATGGAGGTCAGGGGGTCAGGAGTTCATGATAAATCTCAGCTCTATAGCAAGTTGGAGACGTGAGACCGGCTCATTCACAAATAAATAGGTTGTCTTTAGAATTCCAAAGAATAGCTGGGCGGTGGTGGCGCACGCCTTTAATCCCAGCACTTGGGAGGCAGAGGCAGGCGGATTTCTGAGTTCGAGAGTTCGAGGCTAGCCTGGTCTACAGAGTGAGTTCCAGGACAGCCAGGACTACACAGAGAAACCCTGTCTCGAAAAACCAAACCAAAAAAAAAAAAAAAAAAAAGAAGAAAGAATTCCAAAGAATAAAGCTGGGTCTGCATGGGGCCCACTTCTTTAATCCAGTCACTTGAGAGGCAGAAGCAAGCAGATTTAGCAAGTTCCAGGATAACCAAGGCTACATAGAGAAACCCTGTCTCTAAAAACAAAACAAAACCCAAACCCAAATAACAAAGGAATCTCAAAGAATAAAGTCTGGTGATGGGTGGGCCTTTAAGATGGCTCAGAATGGCACTTCCTGGCAAGTCTTGAGAGCCCGAGTTCCATCAGGTGGAAGGTGGGAACCAACCCCCAAGGGTTGTCCTCTGACCGCCACCTATGGGTCGTTGCCCTCCCAATAATAGATAAGTACATAGATGGAATAAAGATGGAAAGAGTCCTGGTGTTGTAGATCACGGCTGTTAGTGGCAGGAGGATTGCAGTGAGTTTGAGACAGCTGGGCTAAATAGGGAAGACTGGGTCAGCCTGGGCTAAAGTGTGAAAGCCTGTCTAAAAAAAAAAATATCCTTCCCAAAAATGAGTTCCCGAGAAAAAGAACATAATCCCAGGGGACAGGACGATACACCAGTGGTTATCTTCCATATAGCCCAGTACACTCATAACTGTACACTCCTCTTGCAGAGGACCAGGTTTGGTTCCCGGGCCACATGCCAGGCCGCCCACAACTGCCTGTAACTCCAGCTCCAGGTCAACTGATGCCCTCTGCTGGCCTCTGAAGGCACCTGCACTTATGTGCATATAAACTCACACAGACACACACAAGTGAAAAACAAAAATCTACACACTCCTAGAAGACATGCCGGTAGTTAACCGGTACTGGAGGATGGAGGGGCGGTTTCTTCAGTGGTGAGGTTTCCATGCTCCTGTAAGCAAGCTTAAGGAAATTCACTGGTATACACACACACACACACACACACACACACACACACACTGGGGAAGTCTTCATCTGATGTGTCAATGACATCAAGTGGCTTTGAGCTAACCTCTCCTACCCCTCATCCCCCTCATGCCTTAACCCCCCTCCTCCCTGTGTGCCTCTCCCTGAACTCCACAGCTGCCACTGATAAGAAAAATACCAGATAGGGCTGGTGAGAGGACTCAGTGTGTAAAAGTGCTTGTTGGCAAAGATAGATCGATAGAACAGGCCTCCAAGTCGTGCACACACACCCCTACACATGCCGTACAGGCAATGATGAAGCAAATGGGTACAGACCAAGCTGGGAGAGGTGGCCATGCCTGGGGTCCATGAGGTCCTTGCTAACCTCAGCCACAGAGCCAGAGCCTGCATACAAAAGAAAACAAACAAACACACAAACACACACACACATACAGGTCAGAGCGTGAGGAGACTAAAGAGTTGTGGAAACAGAGTGCAGTAGGAATTCCAGACCACCAAAAGGACACGTGTAGAAAGCTGGTAAAATCTACAGACATTCTTGAGAGCAGGCTGGACTCACTCCGTGTTTAGTTAGGGACGACCTTGAGCTCCTGGTGCTCCAGAGCAGCGGGGTTATAGGTCAGTGTCACAAAAACTGTTTGTTTGTTTTTAGGCAGTGTCACAGGAACTGGCTATGTAGACCTGGCTGGCCTCCCAAGTGCTGGAACCAAAAGCGTGCTCCGCCACGCTGCGCTGGGCTTCGTGCTCCACCGCACTGCGCTCGGCTTAGTAGATTTTACATGCTCTTTATTTGTATTTTTTGAGATTAGGATTTGTGGTTAGTCCAGGCTGCCCTGGAACTCCTGGCCTTAAGCCATCTTCCTGCCTCAGCCTTCCAAGTAGCAGAGACGACAGGTATGTACTACCGTGCCCTGGCTGGCTCAATGTCTATTCGCTTTTCTGTGCTTTAATTTGCCTTCAGGGAAAAGCAGGGTACTATTTCATAATTGTCTTTCTGTTTTCAGCTTTAATGACCCAAATTGGATTTAAACACATTAGATAGCAGAGGCTGACCTTGAACTCCTGATCTTCCTTCCTCCACCTTCCTAGTGCTAGGAGCACAGGAAGAACAACGGTGCCACCTCCCACCCCCACCCTGCACTGCCAGCCTCAGAGGCCGACCCCGCGCTGGAGCTCCTCTCCAGCTGTGTGTGCTCCCTTCCTCCTCCTGACTTTTCTTTTTCTACTGTCTCCCAACCTTGCTTCTCTGATTCACCTTCCAAGGGAGCCGCTGACCTCTGGCTTTTGACCTCAGGGCCTTTGACCTCAATGTTCCACCTACTTGAAGGCTCTTCTTCCAGTGGTGCTCCAGGGTTCCTGCTCTGTCACTCCCTTGGCTTCCTTTCTCTCTCTCCCTGCTCCCTACCCCCACCCCCAAGTGCTGGCTGTGGACCCAGAGTCTCTTGATCTACCATTGAACCACACCCAAGTGCCCAGACTTATCATTTGGCTGTAGTTTTTCTTCAGCGCATTATCGATGCCTGACCAGTGTCGTGTGTATTTATCTTCTTTTTCTCCTTCTCTCCACCTGTGCGGCTGTTTCACACTCTTTCTGCCTGTGAGTTTTGTTTCTTTGTTTCTTTGTTTTGGCATTTGAGACAGGGTTTCACATAGCCCAGGCTAGCCTGGAACTTTGTGTAGCTGAGCACGACCACCTTCTGGTTCTCCTGGCTGGGATTATAGGGATACCCCACAGCACTCCATCCTTTCTCTGTGGCATCTCTGGCTGTGCCTCTAGTGTCTTTCAGGAGCACACACACGTGTCTTTGGCACTGACACGATGAAGCGAAGCCTTTTGAACACTCTTCTCTCCATCCTCCATCAAGCCTGAATATGTAGCCTCCTGGGCTCCCCTTAACTCCTTCCTCACAAAGGTTCTCTAGGGGAGCAGAATGGAAGTCTGTGTGTGTGTGTGTGTGTGTGTGTGTGTGTGTGTGTGTGTTCTCGCACACGCCTGCATGCTTAAGGGGTATTTCACAGCTGAAGAGATGGTTCAGTGATTAAGAGGACTGGCTGTTCTTCCAGAAGGTCAAGTTTATGGTAGTTCACAACTTCAGTCCCAGGGGCTCTGAGCCCTCTCTGCCCTCCACAGGCATCAGGCATACACATGGTACACACACATACATGCAGCCAAACACTCATCAGCAGAAAATACATCTTAAAAAATAAAAACACCCAACGTGACTCACACGGTGGGGGCTTGCTGTCTCACTCCGG